GTCGTAAATCTCTGCTCTATCCTAGCAACCGCTGAGACCATTCCAACGTCAATCGATATCTCCCCTACACCGAATTCTCACCAGAATCCACATATCTTCTTAGTTCCACCGTTGCTGCTAAGCACTGCCTCACTTCCTCTCCCAGGGCGCGCACCTCAGTTTCTATAACAACCATTGAAACCAAAAACCACGAAAAAAAATTTCACTACCCGACTCCACCGAAACAGCATGGTGACACGTCCTAGGGGGAGGAACGCCGCCCCCTCCATGACGACCTCTTTCTAATGCCTTCACCCTCTTGGTCAGATTCAAACACTCATCTGATCACCGAGGCGTATGTGAAGCTGTGTTGAAATATATGTTCGCTTTTACTCAGCTGCTGACTAAGCCCACGAATTTCCTCACTAATTATAGACTAATTCGGGTAGGCATGTCCAGAAACCAACAAGAATTTTCCCGAAATTTCCTCAAAAATTTCACACTCTCACAAACACATGCAGTTGATCATGTGCATATTTTCCCACACTGGTGTGAAGGGCGGGAGATTCTCCCAAATGATCACCTATAACGATTTTAAGATCCTTATGGCCTTCCACCGTTTCCAGAGTGGGTGCTTTTCCCTGTGACCTCGATCTGTTCAAACGTGAATCCTAAAGCCCGCAAGCACCAACCCCCTACCTAGAAGTGCCGCCCCCGCCGCCTCTCCGCTCCAGCAGCGATTCGATATCGGATTGCATCCTTTTCATTTTCTGTCAATACATCGCTAAAGTCGACACAGCGAGCTCAAGAGGTACTTCAGAGAGGCTCTCCACAGCTTCACTCAGTCCGGCTGACTTCCTCACTTCAGCCTTCACAGTTTCCACATCGCTGCTGAGATCCTTCAACCGAGCAGAGCTGTGCCGCGAGTCACTAGGGAACTCATAATAACAACAAGACGCCCACTCCAAGGAGTACCTGCTCATGTTCCTCGCCATATAACTGATCGCATCATCGATACGCTCGGACACCTCAGCCCGACATTTCCGGGCATGCTGCT